GGTATTGTGACAACTGAATTATTACTTCCTTAAACAAGTACTCTCAAATTTGAATTTTCAGTTATTTTAAAAGGACTGTTATATTTTTTAAAAATTGTAATTATCTTCTTGACCATACATAAAGGAAACATGCAGAAAGATACTTGTTTCATTTCTTGTATATTTTATGCTTAGAACTTTAAAATTATAGTATAAAGTTATAAAAACCTATAGAAGGAAGCACAAACTAATTTGTGGCCCCTCTGTTTAGATGGTTCTTTTTGTTACTTTTACATTCACTGTTTAAATTTGTGTACATGCAAACTAGTTTCTCTAGAAGTCTTTCCTACTTGAATCTCAGACTTTTCCCTCTTCCTGAAGTGCATCCTATTATTCTCTTAGAAGGAATTCTTTCTTGGTCATAAAATGTATGTTTTTGTTGATCTATAAACATCTTTATTCCACTTTCATTTTTGAAAGAGGTTTTCTGGGCACACAATTCTAAATTATCTTCTGTTGGTTTTTAAAGATAGTGCATTGCCCTCTGGTTTCTATTGTTGCTGTTGAGAAGTCTTCTGTTGATCTAATTGTTGCCCCTTTGAGGTGATATTTTCTCTGGCTTGCTACCAGTATCTATTTGTTTTAGGGCAATGCAATTTCACTGAAATGTGTCTAAGTGTGGATTTCTTATTATTTACTCTGTGCTCCTGAATCTGAGAAATGATGTTTTTCTTAATTCTGGAGGAAAAAAAATATATATGTATATATATATTCTCCTTATTTTCTCTATTCTTCCTCATTCTATCTTTTCTTTATGTCTCTTTTATGTCCACAAATTCCATCTGCTTAAAATTCTGTGACTCATTCTGGGTAAAACCTTCAGCTCTATCTGCCAATTCACTCACCTCTCTTCTAGTATGCCTAATCCACTGTTTAATCTACATATTGCTTTTAAAATTGCAATGACTATATTTTTCTTCCTGGAAGCTGTTTTTGGTTCCTTTTAAAATTTGCCTGGTCGTATATTAATAGTCCATTTTTTCTCACTCATGTTTTCAATTCTATCTCTTATGTAAATATTCACATTTAGTTATCTGAACTTCATAATAATAATATCTGAAGGTCTTACATATCTAAATCTATTGTTTGTTGTTTCTTATTCCTAGTGAATTTCTTTAATTTTTTTATTACTGTCAATTCATATTTGGCTGAATTTATTTTGAGGAAATCCTAAAGGGCTTAAAGAGTGATCTGCAGAAATTATTTCTGATTATTTCTCCTGAGTGTCCCGAGGTGTTACAATCTGGAATCATTTTAATGTCTTGGCCCTGACCACAAGATGTATATAAATCACCCACCTTCACTGGACATGTGTGATAATAGATAATACATTCTATTATGTTTATTATTTCCTCTTGAAGCAAAGACAATGATAAACACATTTTCTTATTTACTCATTACTGCAGGTTTTTTCCATGTCATGCCTTCACTGAGGCTTCTGAGACACCACATGGTGTCTCATGAGACATTCACTTAGGACATCATATATATATACACACACACACACACACACACACACACTATATATATATATATATCCTGGAAACCAAGTTCTGGACCCCATTACAAATCCCTATTTGGCCAACCCCCCACCCCCGCTCCACCCTGTTACACATCAGTTATACATATAAGTTCTTTGAGTTCTCTGTTTCCTATAGCATTTTTATCTCCCCCTGTCTATTTTATGCCTACTAATTATGCTTCTTCTTCCCTGTACATTTTTACCCCCAGTTCCTCCCTTCCCCTTCCCCACTGAAATCCCTCCATGTAATGTCCATTTCTCTGATTCTGTTCCTGTTCTAGTTGTTTGCTTAGTTTTTGTTTTCATTGTTTTTTTCTTTTAGGTTTGTTTGTTGATAGTTGTGAGTTTGTTGTCATTTTATTGTTCATATATTTTAACTTCTTTTTCTTAGATAAGTCCCTTTAACATTTCATATAATGATGGCTTGGTGATGATGAACTCCTTTAAATTTATCTTATCTGAGAAGCACTTTATCTTCCCTTCCATTGAAATGATAGCTTTGCTGGATAGATTAATCTTGGATGTAGGTCCTTGGCTTTCATGACTTGGAATACTTCTTTTCAGCCCCTTCTTACCTTCAAGGTTTGTTTTGAGAAATCAGCTGATAGCCTTATGGGAACTCCTTTGTAGGTAACTGTCTCCTTTTCTCTTGCTGCTTTTAGGATTCTCTCTTTATCTTTGATCTTGGGTAATTTAATGATGATGTGCCTTGGTGTGTTCCTCTTTGGGTCCAACCTCTTTGGGACTGTCTGGGCTTCCTGGATTTCCTAGAAGTCTATTTCCTTTGCCAGATTGGGGAAGTTTTTTTCATTATTTGTTCAAATAAGTTTTCAATTTCTTGCTGTTGTTCTTTTCCTTCTGGCACCCCTATAATTCAGATACCAGAACATTTCAGGCTGTCCCAGAGGTTTGTCTCTCTTAACTTTTTTGAATTCTTAATTCTGTTTTGTTGGATGTTTATTTTTCCCTTTTGTTCCCAATCATTGCTTTGAGTCCTAGTTTCCTTCCTGTCACTGTTGGTTCCCTCCCTATTTTGCTTTATTTCATTTTGGGTATCTTTCATTTGTTTTTTCATTTTTCAACCAAGCTCAGTCAGTTCTGTGAGCATTTTGATTACCAGGGCTTTAAACTCTCCATCAGATAGGTTGGCTATCTCCTCAACACTTAGCTCTCTTTCTGAAGCTTTGCTCTGTTCTTTCATTTGGGCCATATTTCTTTGTCTTGGCACAGCTGATAAGTTGTAAGGGGGCAGGGCCTTAGGTATTCCCCCTGGGGCAGGGCTACCCTCTTTGCTGCATTGCTGCAGTGCTGCCTGTCAGGGAGGGGCCAGAGAGGGAACAGTGCAGCTCACCAGCTCATCTCTAGTGCACTTTCCAAAGGAATCTCGTGTGAGACTGGGAGTTTCTCCCACCTTGACAACTGCTATAGTCCACAGTCACCTCTGAGTCTCAGTTTCGCCTTCAGCCAGCCCTGCCTACACAGTCCACTGCCTCACCAGGGTTTTTCCCAGCCAATCACCTTGGGATTTTACTGGTTTGGTTGTTCCAGTTGACTTTTTCTTTAACTTCTTGATTGTTGGAGTTCCATGTAGTTTGACTTTCTGGCACTTCTGGTCGTTTATTGATTTTAATTGCTGTTGTCCTCCTTTTGATTCTGTGAGAAAGCGAAGGGTTTCTACCTACTCCTCCATCTTGGCCAGAACTCCCTTTATTACACATTTTTTATTACAAAATTATAAGCATGTAATTCTGTAACACAACAATATCACACTCAAGCACATCATATGACATTTTAGGTGAAATGCTTAAATTAAAACTATAAATCATGATACCCATTTTATTACACTACTAACCATACTCAAGCAGGCATTACTTCTGCCAGGCCCTGTATTTGTTTTGTGCTTCAAAAAGTATTCTATGCCTTACCTCAAGAAGAATTTAAGATAGCTAACAAGGATGCATAAATCCAAGATATAAGGTAGCAATAGGCAAGGAAAAGGGGGAGAAGATTTGAAAACAAACAAGATTAAAATAAAAATGTATACATTTCAGCTTGTTATGATGCAGGAGATATATTTGGCCTTAATATAACTGAACCAAAAAATCCAAAAAAACAAAGAACAAAGCTTCTGCTGCCTGTCAACACAAAAGCCAAACTTGTGAAGCAGATGCTGGTGCCAAAGGAGATTTTATTCAGTAGCTATGTCGTCCCAGAGAATGGCAGACTCCTGTCTCACAGCCCATCTCCTCTTTCCGCTATGGAAAAAGTCCAACCATCCTCAGCCAGACTAAGACAAAAGCCAGTGCCCAGGGTTCCTGCTCCATTTTAAAGTACAGTTCTTCGGAGCCCACAGGTAGCTGCTAAGTGGTCTTAGTCCCATCCAGGTAGTTTAGTTTGTTCCTACTGCTGTCCTTTTCAGGCTCCCTCTTGGAGCCTGCGTGTGGAGCCTGCATGTGGAGCCTGCACGGCCATGGGCCACATGGCTGCTAGGGCTGCAAGGTTGCAGTGCACCTGGAAGCGAGTGGGTGAATGTGCTGGTGAGTGCATCACCAGGTAGGCAGAGAGACTCCCTTTTGGAGGTCAAAGAAAATTAGGTGAGTGCACTGTGCAAGCGCAGATCACAAGCATGTCTCTTTTTTCTCCTGGGATTATATTAGCTTGGGTATGGGACAGATCAGGTGTTTTCTCAAAATGACCGACTTCTAAACCATGCAAACTTCGAGTGGGTCCACCTCCCAACCAATCCTTCCTCTCCTCAGCCTGGACTGACAGGCCTCTTTGGTCCAGCACCTCCCCCTGTGCCATTTTGACTTCTGTGACATATGTGTCTGACTTCCCCTAGTCCCACCCCCAATCTGGTAAGCCTTCCCCTAGTCCCACTCCCAATCTGGTAAGTGGGAAGGACTGTTTTTGTCTATCCAGTTATATTGCAATCTTTTTGACACTCAGGTCCTATTCATTGATATTTCTAGCTTCCTGCATGCTCAGTCTAAGAACTGCCCCCCATGGCTATCTTGGCCAATGGAGGAGACTCCTGGCATTCTGACTGATTTACAGTCACACTAAGATTTCTAAGGTAAAAAGGGATACCTGAGTAGTTATGAGTCACCATTTGTGTATATATATGTAATATATAGTATATATATAACCAATTCATCTACTCAGAATAACCATAGATATGACTAGTCCCTATGAAGAGGATCAAAAGTTTATTAAAAAGCACTTCATAAAGAGAACATTGTATAATGAAAAGAACAATATCCTGATTTGTGGCACTTTTTGAGAGTGGAAGAGGAACTATTAAACATACTGGGACAACATAGTAAACTGGGACTGCCCCCTAAAATAAAAATGTATGTTCTCACCCTATTTATAGTAATCACAACTCACAGCAAATGACATATCTTATGAAGATATTTTATTATTGCATTCCCCAATATGAGCTGATGATTGCACACAAAACAGCAATTCAGTACAAAGCAATTCTATATGAGGTTGATACAATGATTGGCATAACTTTTGGCTGATCTATTTGAATGGTAAATTTTAGAGCAGAGTGGAGCAGGATAACAAACTCAAATAGGTTTAGTGGTGAGGAAATTAACCTGAGTGTCAAGTGGCCAGGTGCAGGATAATAGGAAATGGTGAATAAATAAAACATTTTAAAACAAGGTTCTGGAAAACAAAATCTATCTATTGTTGAACTTGGTTTCTAACTAAGTCACTGAGAGTTGGAAATAATAGCATATCCATATAGGATACTTACTAGATGTCTATGAAATCTGCATTTAAAATTCAAAGGACATTTAAAACATTTACCAGGCCTTCATGTCTTCAGCTAGTTCTTGCTTGTGTTTGTCACTATGCTGAAAATGCTTAGTTTCCCAATCCAATTTGAATAACAATTTCTGAATTAATTCTCAACTTTTATAAGTAGTTCATTCTTTTGAACAATAATCATTACTCAAATTTTCCTCTGACCCTGATTTTTGGAGAAATGCTTTCTCTTGGTCTTTTACTATGAAAGAGCTGTTAAAAAAAAATAGCTTATCTAGTCAGAGGATATATTATGAAAAGCATAAGATCTGAAACAAGGGAACTGACCATTGCAGGGAGACAGCATTCTCACTTTGCGCTGTGCTGGTCAGACACCATCTGGTGCAGCTCAGTGTGGGTGTCTCTGTTACTAAAGGGAAATATTGTCAAAGCATAGGGCCCCAAATGGCAGTGCTGCCATTTCCCATGATTTCCAGGTTTCTCCGCTTTTAAAGGGAATTTTCAGGTTCCTGCACCTCAATCCCGCCCTCATTCCCTTATCAAGTCTTAAAAGTTGACTTGGCTTCAGTGACATCATCCAACAATTCCAGTCTTCTCTCTCCTCCAGATGCACCTGTGTCCACATAGTTCTAGTTGATGAAAGAGACATACTTCTCCTTCCTGCTCAAGACACATTGTTCCACAAAATGTCACCTCTTCTGTCTTGTCAGGATCCTGTTTCATTATTTATTTATATCTATTCTACATCTTCAACTCTCTTTCCCCAGGCTCTTTTCTGTGGACAAAGAAAAAGATCAAGTCTCCTGGATCTTTACATACACAGACCTACCCTCCCCACTCTAGCTTCTACACTACCTTTCCTCCACTCTTTACAGCTTCTGAAGAGGGAGCCTCCAGGCATGTCTTCCTCACCCACTTCCTATCTTGACTGGATAATCTCCGGGGAATCTAGATTCTGGACCCTTCACCACTCTGAAACAGCTCTTGCCCAACAACTTCCTTGTTGCTTAAAACAAGGAACAATTTTATCTTATCATTGGAGTATTTGTGACTCATGACTTATTTTAAAACTCTCTCCCCTTTTAGTTCCTGGATTAGGGCTATTTCTTGATTTCCCTCTAACATGTCTGGACATTCATTCTCAATCAGTAGTATGAGCTCTTTGATCACCCCTTAATGTTGGCCCTCTATACATATACATGTGGCTTCAATTGAGACCTGTCCACAAATCCCAAATCTGTAGCCCTAGACCAGCTATAAACTCCTGATATGAACATTCAAGTGCCTAGCCTTTCTCAAGCTCAACATGTCTACCGTTGAATTTACTTGCCTCTATCCATTCTGTCTATGAACCAATGTCATCACTGTTCACTCATTCATAGCAGTCATTTAAGAATTATCTATGATATTTCTTACTTTCCTCCTACATTTTTTGGTCATTAAGCTCTAATTCTCTCTTGAATCAGTTTTCTTTTCCCCTACATCACTGCTTGCTTCACTTAGGACATTTCCCAATAGTAACATAGCAATAGTATCCTAACGGGTTTTCCTACCTTCTCCCTTGTCCACTGTTTCTATACTACTGCCAGAGTGATTTTACCAAGTTGAAAGTTTAATTGCACAGCATGCTTTTGATAGTTCCTCATTGCCTTCATGACACACCTTTAATTACTTAGCAGGGCATCCAATGCCATTCATATTTTAGTTGTCCTGAAAGTCGTCAGTCTGAACAACTGAACTACCCTGAATGCACCATGCTTTCTCACCTCTTTTCCTGAGTTAGGAGCGCCCTTTTTAACCCCACTATCTTGTCCTGTGCCACTGACTTCAGATGTGTCCTCCTGCAGGGTGTTTTCCTAGCCTCTCTAGCAAGATTAGGTATTTCTCTGGTATATTCCCATAGCACTCTGTGTTTATTTCTTTTAGGGCATTCATATAAATCTGCAACTGCTAATTTATGAACCAGGGTCCTTCTTTAAATACAGGGATATAATAATAGCTAGAACTTGTTGAAAGCTGTGTATCAGGCCTTGTATTGAGTGCTTTGTCTACATTATTCATTTAATGCTCACAATTCTAGGAAGTAGGTACTAATACTACCCTTGATTCCCAAGGGAAGAAATTGAAATTAGAGAGGTTAATCAACTTCCTTAATGTTGCAGAATTATATCCTAACCTTTTTGAGGGCAACGATCATGCACTTATTGTCTATGAAGAGAACTTGATTGTTCTGCAACTGATGTTTATGAGTTAAATATCTGAAGACGACAAAACTTGGACCAATGAATAGAAATTAAATAAAGGCAGATTTTAGTTTAGTATATAAAAGACTTTATATTAGCTAGGACTAGCCAATGGAAAGGATGACTCAAAAGATAGTTAGAGGTGGCACTCATCACACTGAAGAGTAATGTACATTTACATTTTCCTCCTTGTAAGAGCTATATCTTACTCTGCTTTCATTCCAATCTGACCAAGAACTAGAGATGCTCAGCAGATGTTTGTTGAATGAATTGAATTGAATTGAAAGGCCCTGAAAACTAAAAAGTAGTTATTTACCCTTTATATAGTCCACTGGAAATTTAAATCCCATTGTTCTTTAATTCTTTCCACTATTCTGCATTTTCTTTCCCAGGAGCTTTGACAGTGAAGAGAGAACAGGAAAAGAATTTAGAAACTTCATTTGTTGTTTGTAAAATTCCACCAGGCTATAGGCCCTGTGAGGGCTGGAACATATCTTTTATCGTCGTATCTTCAGCCTAGGACATAAGAGCTGTTTAATGAATGTTTGTTGGATAAACACACACACACCCCAACATGTGCTCTTTACTCTCAGATGGGTATTATGGAATCAGTCATATGCTATATAAGAAATTTCTGCATTAGATGGGACATTGGACCAGACCACTATTGGTATACTGGAAAGCTAAATTATATGTTTTATTTCCGAAAGTGAGATAAATAGAGGAGGGAAGAGATGAAAAAAACACTACATCACCATCATCATTTCCAAGACGAAGGCAAGATTCAGAGTAGTAAAATTCTCCTCAATGATCCAGATAGGTAGTAAAGAAACAGGAGGCTGTGTGACCTCTGAGGTTCCTGCCAAATTTAAAATAATTTTGTTTTTATTTATGGATCCTAAATATCAAATTGAGAAGCTGTATTTTAAGACACTAATGGTTAGATCTAGAATTCACTTATTAAACACAACTGTAGGCACTGAGGATACAGTCGTGCATCTATCAAAAGAAACAGGGAACTTAACATAGTGGAGTTTACATTCTAATGGAGTGTGGGTGTGGCAGAAAAAGAGAAACAGGTATTTCAGGTAGTGTCCAAAAAAGGTAATGAGAGGCCAGAAAGTGGCAAAATTAATAGGACAGTATTACGGTGGTTATATTTTGAAGAGCTAGGCTCTTTGTTCATTGGTATTACTCAATGGGCCTTTAAACAATTCTGACATGTATATAAACTACTAAAACTTCTCTTAAGTATATCATACCATTTTTTCTTTTTAAAAATCTTAAACAAGTCTGTGAAGATTTGTTTACCTATGAAGAAGCACATCAATTTTTAAAATTAATTATTTATCCTCACCTGAGAGCATTTTTTCACTGTTTTTAAAGAGAATGAGAGGGAGAGGGAGGTGGGGAGAGGAGAGACAGACAGACATCTATGTGAGACAGAAATATTGATTGGTTGACTTCTTGTATGTGCCCCAACCAGGGAGCAAACCCACATGCTGGGTAATGTGCTCTTCCTGGGGAAAAAATCGTGACCCTTTGGTCTGTGGGACAAGGCTCCAACCAACTGAGCCACACCAGCCAGGGCACACATGTCAATTGTATCACCTAATTTCCTTTCCTCCCTTTACCTCTCTCAAGTCTATTGGCAAACTTTTAAAACTCTTCTTTAGTCTTTCCCTTTTCATTCCTTCAATAAACCAAAATATTCTCTTCATATTTACCAAGCAGTCTTCATCTAATTTAAAATATCCTGATTTTCCTTTTCCTCCATAAAGTTTTTCCTAACCTAGTATAAATGTCACATACTACACATTAGGAATTTTACAATTATAGCCAAGATTTAAAAACTAAGTCATAAAACAGCAAAATATGTAGAAAAGGATTATAAGTGAATTTTATGTTATATTTAAATTGGTTTACCAATATTTATCTTTATCTATAGCTTCAGTGCAAGACCTTGAGAATCAGACTATTTTTTGAGCTATGTTTTATGCTTTCTAACCCTGGGACACACAGGCCCTAATTAACATTTGATGTCTCGACAGGTTCAGATCCAGATGATAGAGATGATTTATCTGCCTTTGTGGAGCCAATATATGGGAATCACATACAAACACCCATGTTTTTATTTGCTTTCAAAGAACTATAAAGACCAAATTTGCTTTTAAAAATACAGTTCCTTATAGGAAAGGGAGAAACCAAAGACTCATGTCCAGCACGGGCAGAGGGAGGCAAAGGGGAAAAAATTGGGACAACTATAACAGCATAATCAATAAAATATACTTAAAAATACATTTCTTAAATACTTATTCTTAGGAAAGGAGTATTTTTTAAAGACCAATGAGGCTATATGTTCTTTATAATCACTTTACGTGTATCTTTTGACCTAAACTCTAGGATATACTTTCAGCAGTTATCACTTCAAACTTATACAGCACCTTGTACACCTTGTACCTAGGGTTCTCAAACACTCTATGATTCCATAGAAAATCTTTTTCTTATCTAAAAGAGAAATAAAGTAGAAACATAAAATTGCTTGCTCAATAATTTAAAGTAGCCTTGACTGTGTAGCTCAGTTGGTTAGAGCATTGTCCTGATACAAGGTTGTGGGTTTGATTCCCAGTAGGGGCACATACAAGAATCAGCCAATGCATGCATAAATAATTGGAACAACAAATCAATATTTCTCTCTCCCTTCCTCTCTTTCTAAAAATCAATAAATAAAATTTAGGAAAACAATAATAAAGTTATATTAAAACTGGAGCTAGCAAGATCCAGAACTTCCTATTTTAGTTTTGAACTACTTTTGTATATTTAAATATTTACTATTGTTAGAATTATCCTAAATTATAATAATTACAAAGAAACATTTTAGCTCTAGGGTTTGATCATATTGAAAGAAATATGAATTTGTTCGCTTTACGCAAGAAGCATGAGGAATATCCAAATGTTTAATATAACATTTCCTTTTAACTGTAATAAATGACTACGATGGAAAAATAATTATTTTATAGTGCTGAGTCTCAAGGAACATCAATCTCATGTCAAATAAAATAATTTTGACTTTTTAGAGCTGATTCAATCATCTAGGAATGACTGAATGAAATCTCATACATGATTGTGCCTGGCATGGGGTAGGCGCTCTGCACATGGTTAGATCTGAATCCAGATTCCATTCTTTAAGAGAATTCATATGATCCAGGATTTCCTCTGCTCAGATACCTGATGCCACGACTGAATCAGGAAGTAGTTAAAAAGAGCTATCAAACCAATGCTATCCATCAAGTGCATCAAATGCTATTCAGGTCTTCCAAGTAATGAAATAGAAAAATGAATGAGAGGGATCCAAGATGGAAGCTACACTCACTTCACCCTGGTGCTAAACTGGATTTACAGCTAAATTGTAGAGCAGTCAACATGAATGACCAACTGCAAGACAGCTGAACAGGAGTATTATATCCAAGGATTTATGGAAGAAGCTACACACACTGGTAAGAAGGACAGAGACATGAGGAGGGCTGGTGCC